AAGCTGTGTAAGGATGGCAAACTGGACGGGCCTCACTATGGTCCTGCAGGAAGAGTGAAGGTGGAGAATCGTGTCTTCATGGCACCAACAGAGATAGAGGATGAAAATGGTATTCAATGACCTTCTGTTTCTCCCACTTCATTTTCTCAGTAACTTACTAAAGAAAGGCAATATTGCTGTAGTGGGACATACTCTCTCCAATACTTGTTGTGTGCTTGTTTTCATGCTGGTACTACTGACTACTGACAAACTGGTCTGATAAATGCCAAAAAAGTTGATTCTGTTCATCAACTTTTTGGCATTTACTTACCTTGATGATTGGACACGCACCAAGTCTGATAAATGCTTAAACAGTTTAAAGGGGAAGCTTAATTTCATTTGATAGCATTCACTTTAAAAAATACACAAACTTTTGCGATGATGTTTATCAGGTCTGAAGAAGCAGACAGATGAACACCTTGCCCTTACTGTGCTGAACCACTGGGAAGAAATTCCACGAGCTGGCTGCAAGCTCATCCCAGAACACGTGGAGACCAGACCGCTGCTCCACCCTGATAAACCAGGAATTGAGCAAGTGTGTAAACGTATTAATACGTATAAATTTCCAATCAAAAAGGCTTGTATGTTGGAATTAGCCTCTAAGGTTTATTTCCATATTGAAAAACAAAGAATTTTTTTCTCATCCTGTACTTTGTTTAGGGAAGAATTGAGATGTGGGTGGATATGTTCCCTAAAGATATGACAGCACCTGGTCCTGCACTTGACATTTCACCAAGGAAACCAAAAAAGTATGATTTCAACAGTCATCTTGCAGCTTTAACACACACAGTATCAAGTTCAAAACCATCTTAATGTATTTGAATAAATTATGCAGTTTAATTTGAGGTTTTTACCAATCACTATTGATTGTTGATTAGTGTTTATGCGTTTATACAGGTTTGAACTGAGGGTCATAATTTGGAACACAGATGAAGTCGTTCTGGAGGATGATGACATCTTCACTGGCGAGAAATCTAGTGATATATTTGTGCGAGGGTAATAATGTATCTTTTGTTTTTTGTTTATTTGTTTATGAGCAGAAATCAGTCAAATCAGATTCCCGATACGGAAACATTTACAAACCCTTTTCTCACAGTTGGTTAAAAGGACAGCAGGAGGACAAACAGGACACTGATGTCCATTATCACTCCATCACTGGGGAGGGGAATTTCAACTGGCGCTTCATCTACCCGTTTGATTACCTCATGGCGGAGGAGAAGATCGTCATCTCAAAAAAAGAGTCCATGTTTGCATGGGATGAGACTGAGTACAAGATCCCTGCTCGTCTTAACCTGCAAGTGTGGGATGCCGACCATTTCTCAGCAGATGATTTCCTGGGTATTGTCAAAAATCATTAAGCTAAAAAACATCGCTACTCATAAGAGCTTGTTAGTGAAACACCACTAACACAGCAGGCAACATTGTAAATTTAGGCGTAATGACATTAAGATGGCTTAACCTTCGTACTTATTCGACATTTACTGTAGAAAAAATGTCTTCATAGGTGCAATTGAGCTGGACTTGAACCGTTTCCCACGTGGCGCCAAGACTCCCAAGCAGTGTACCATTGAAATGGTGACAAATGAAGGAGAGATGCCCATGGTCTCCATCTTCAAACAGAAGAGGATCAAAGGCTGGTGGCCCTTTGTGGCCAGGAATGAAGATGATGAGTTTGAGCTTACGGTCAGTAACACCAAAGCACCACCTGAAATTATGGTTCTAAATAGGGAATGACTCATTTTTGTAATGCTAACGCAAGCAGTAAAACACACTGTTTCGTAACATATCTCCAGGATTAAATGTGTAGTTAAACCTTTGTATGCAGAGTTCACTGGTCTCACCCACGTTATAAAATGAGTTTGACATCTTTGCTTTAGGTAATAGCGTGAATCCACATCACTCATACTGTTTTTTGTCTTTACAGGGAAAAGTGGAAGCAGAACTGCACCTTCTGACAGGAGAGGAGGCAGAGAAAAGTCCAGTTGGTGAAGGACGAAATGAACCAGAACCACTGGAGAAACCCAAGTATGAAGGATGTTTTCCTATCATCCATTCTTTTGATCTAATTTTTTCAGCGGCATGGTCCAGTATATTCTTTTGGCTTCTACATAAATCTCTCCTATAAACAGAAGCAGTCACATACTAAATGTTGTGTCCGTGTACACATACCTCTACATGCACAGATACATGCAGGTTTAAAGGTTGACAGTCCGAACAAACATCATTCAACAGGTAAGCGGAAAAAAAGAAAAACAGAGAACATAATAGATATAGTGGTAAATTTAATTGTTAAATCAATTATTGTAAAAAAACAAAAACAAAAAACACCTGTTACACAGTCATTAAAAAAACATAAAAAACAATATTAAACTTGCATAAAAAGCATTAAGAAATTTCATGAACTGAGGAAAGACAGTTGAAGGAATTTGCTTCAGTCAAACGCTGGACTTAGACCTAGGATCTTCTTTCTTTACATGGTAAGTTGCTGTTTCTTATCCTTATTTCTAACTAGAATTATTTTTCCCCATCCTGCTTTCTGCTTTATTGTTGTTTCAGGGAGTCCACTAACTTTCAAAGCATTAATTTAGTTTGTAGTAGAAAAACAGTAAAATGCTCCAAAGTCCTTAAAAGCTGTAATACTGAACGTGCACATTTCTGTCCTTCTAGCCATCCTGACACCAGCCTTCTGTGGTTCCTCACTCACTAATAAGACCATTAAACAACTGGTCTGCACCCAGTACAAGTGGCTGGTCATCAGGATTGTCACTGCTCTCCTGCTGCTGGCTGTGCTCACTCTTTTTCTCTACAGCATGGTGAAGAAAATGCTGGGAGCTTAAGATGTTCTGCACATGGTTCCAGCAGACTAATCTTAGAACTTCTGACTCACTCTCTCCTCCAAACTTCCTGTGCACTTTTTCTATTGAGCCAGCACTTGAAGCAATACATTCAAATGTACAAAGTTATACCAAGAAAACAACATGCACTAAGAAAAGGATTCAGAAAACCATGTTCTTTTAGAAATCTGCCAAATTAACTTTCACACACCCACGCTACAGTACCGTTTGGCCTGTTCATGCTGTTCATAGATCAATATCCTTAATAATAGTGAAAAAAGTAAAAAAAAAAAAGAAAATAAAAATCGGGATGTTAGATGTTATTCATATGCCCAAAATTGGTCATTTTAGCCTAGGTTGCCAGGTGGTTGCTAAGTATGTAAAATGCCATTTTTATGTATTTAAATGAGATGTTATTGTCATGAAAATAAAATGATACATTGGAGTTGCAGGCTTAATACACGTAATTTTAGCTCATTGCTAGGTTAACAGGCAATGTGATGCGTCATACAGTAATATCAGGTGTAGATACAAATCTGCAGGGGCATGTACTTATCTAACAAATTTGGTTACTCGGCTCCTGATGATGTGTTTGTGGACAAAGAAAAACACACACAAACACACACACGGACAGAGATTTCTTTCAATATAGAGTTTTATTCCTAAAGTAGAGTTTTAATAAAAAATGCTTTATAATGGAAAAGAAAAAAGAAGTATAGTCACTGGAAGAACGATAATCAAGAGCACCACCTCAACAGATGAAACCTAGTTCATTTCTTCTGAGATATAAGAACTAAGCCTTGTGATGGATTGGCAGCCTGTTCAGAGCGTGGCAGCTGAGATTGGTTTCAGCAATGCTCGCAACCTTAAACTGGACAAGCAAAGGAAAATGGATGAGTGGTTTCATGGATAAGTACTAAACATATAATGCACCTGAAAAAA